CTTGTTAGGCAAAAACATTCCAAAGATGAACCTACTATTCAGAAATAGACAGGAGTTATTTGGGTATTCCATATTCTTAAAAGATCTTGTTGCTATCATATGAGCAGGAGTAAACCATTGTTTACAGACAAGGAATACACTATCAAGAATCCCAGCTATCATCATCCCAATGTGAAAGCTAGAATTGTGAGAACATCTTCAACTTTACAGGTCCAGTGGATTCAAAACTGACACAGGTGGCCAAGGCTCACCCAGAGGGTGTTCAACTGACAAAATTTCTTCACAGCATCATAGTACAACAAAAGGGTTAATGTTAAATTACCATTTATACTCAAAAAGAAAAGGAATCCTGGGGAATGCTGTGACACTCTTAACTTCCAGTGAAAACATGGAGCTAGCAAAGCTAAGACATGATTTTGACTGTTACAGACTTTACAGTGTAATAAAGAAAAGTTAAGGGACCCAATAAGCTAGAAAAAGGAATAGTGTGGTATGTAGCATAAAAGAAGTTTTATGGCATGATGGGGAGGGTGGGCCCTGGAGTCATACTGCCTGGATCTTAACCATGTCTTGATATCCTACTAGCTACCTGAAGTTATGCAGATTAAATGATTTAAACGGTCTCCACATTCATTTCCACATCTATAAGATGAGAACAGTATCATCCTTTAGAAGAGAATCCACAGATCAACAAGACTAAGTGTGAATAGTTTTGAAGTGTTCTTCTCAATTACTTCCTTCCATGCAATCGTATTGAGTATTAAAAAGTATTCTTACATCACAGTATTTGATGCATCATTCCTGGTGCATTAAAGACTTGTGTTGAAGTCAGAATACCTAGTGTCCACTTCTAGCCCTTCATTAATGCTAACCATTTCATTTCTCTCTGCCTTTGGTTTCAGTGAGCATAGGAGATTCTACAGGAGCAGGGATCTTATCAGCTTGGTTCAGGATTTAGACCAGTGCTAGGAACATAGTAAATGCTGAATAAATGACTCACCACAGCCCAGAGATGTGCTGAAAGTGATAAGACATCAATCAGGAATGTAATTTTGAGAAAGAACTGTAATTACTCTACAGAAGCGATTGAGTTTCCTTGTTTAAGACTTCCAAGGGAGATAAGAAGTGATTTCTGTTACATGTCTCTGCTGGGGTCTGTGAATGAAATTTGAAATATTTTGCCTGGAGTAAAGGCTCGGCCACTTGAAGCTTTGTCACTTTAAATAAGTAAATTAACCTCTATGATCTTCATTTCCTTCACTGAAATTTTTAGATTATCATTCAGGCTTTAGAGTATTTGAGTATTTTGAGAGCTCTTGAGATCGATGAAATACAAACACTTGTAAACTGCAAACAAAATATGGTAAAAATGCACTAAGAAGTGATAACTTTTTGTGTTCTACCTTGGAGGATCATAAATCGTAAAAAACAAAACTGTATTCCTACTCTTCAAATGTAACATAATTAAGATAAACTTGTATTATCCCCCAAAGTTCTTAAAAATCCAGGGAAAACACACACCACTTCCTGTCTTTTTTATTCATCAGATGAGCAGTGTCCTGCAGGAGAAATCCTCCACATCTTCACACCAGCTCCCTTTAGTTGTTGCATTTAGTTTCTTCTGAGCTAGCCCCCAGAGTAGTTCCATTCTGAAGGAAGACATGTGCTGGCTAGAACTGCTTTCAGGAATTGGCCAGGCTCCCATCAGAGGTTACAGGCCAAAAAGAAAAAAAGAATGAGAAAATTCCTTCTTCCCCATTCCATGATCTTCCATAAATGTGTGGCCAGAGGCCAATTCCTGTTTGCATTTTTCATTTGGAGAAGTTCAACAAGCAAAGTTATTATTTATTATCTATTTCTATACCTCATGGACCTCTGTAAAAAAAATCTTACTCCAGAGCCTCATTGTTTATGTTCTGAGCAAATCTGCAATATATATATCCTCTTTCCATTATTTTACTTCCAAATGTGTTTAGGCAACCTCTGTGAGAGTACTTCACAAAGTTCATGGAAATGGAATTGAAAGATAATTTTATTCTGGTGCAAAAATATTTTGAAATCCATGCATATGTGGTGCCTTCAAAAGTTCATCAGAAATGTATATGAAAATACTATACAGAACTTATAATTTAGGGGCTGGTGTTGTGGCACCACGATCCCATATGGGCGCTGGTTTGAGACCTGGATGCTCCACTTATAATCCAGCTCCCTGCTAATGTGCCTGGGAAAGCAGTGGAAGATGGCCCAAGTCCTTGGGCCCCTGCATCCATGTGGGAGACCCCCAAGAAGCTCTTGGCTCCTGGCTTCAGCCCCACCCATCCCTGGCCTTTGTGGTCATTTGGGGCATGAACCAGTGGATGAAGATCTCTCTCTTTCTGTCTCTTCCTCTCTCTCTGTGTAACTCTGCATTTCAAATAAATAAAGTAAATATTTTGAAAACATAATGTAATTGTAGAATTAACTTTGCATACATCTTTCAATATAAATTTACAAACTCACAGTATACTCTTTCAGAGTACTTTTTAAACACTAAGTCAGTTACAATGTGGAAACATTTTCCCTTGAAATTCAACTTAGTAATACTAATGAGAAGAATTTGGGTCAAAGGAGAATTTGTGTCTATTGGAGTAGCCAATCCAATAACTTATCAGGCTTCTCAAAAGTTTTTTAGTTGTTGTATCTCTTTAGTTTTTTTTCTAACTAGCTTTAGGGGCTGATATTGTAGTGCAGTGTATTAAGCCAAAGCCTGGGATACCAGCCTGAAACGGCATTCCAGGCTCCTGGCTTTGGCCTGGCTCAGTCTCAGCCATTGCAGCCATTTGGACAGTGGACCAGTGAATGGAAGATCTCTCTCTGTCTCCCTCTCTGTGTGTCTCTCCCTCTCTTCCTCTCTCTGTGTATGGCTGCTACAACAGTAAGAGGAGCTATAGAAATTTTGGAGGAAATCCCTGCCCTGTCCTTTAGGTCTGTTATTCAATGGGTAACACTTATTCAACATCCATGATTGCTTATTAGGCTTTCCAGAAGGAAACTGGAAAGTTCACTATGGTCGATATTGTGGCAGTAAGAAAAATGGCAGTAAAAGTGACAACTGTCTGCCATGGAAGGAGGAGAACTGAAGTACTTCCAAGGACATTGATGACACCTAGTCTTTAACCGGAGGCTAAACTACATTCAATATTTGTTTGTAAGATGGCAAAGCTACATATAATATATTTTTGAAAGGTTTCCATGGTGAGTTACTCAGAGAAAAAACATGTTTGGCTCTTGAACAGATTAACTTTGTCTTTTTCTAAAAAAAAAAAAAAAAAGATTGATTGATTGATTTGAAAGTTGGAGTTACAGAGAGAGGGAGAGAGAGAAAGAGATCTTTCATCTGCTAATTGAGTCTCCACATGGCCACAACAGTCAGGGCTAAGCCAGGTGGAAGTCAGGAGCCAGGAACTCCATCCGGGTCTCCCACGTGTGTGGAAAGGGCCATCTTCCCCTACTTTCCCAGCCACATCAACAGGGAGCTGGATCGAAAGTGGAGCAGCTGGGACTTAACCAGGATATGCTATGCTGGCCTTATAGGCAATGGCTTAACCTGCTGTGCCACACAGGCCCCTGTGCTTGAATTTTCTAGATATTTTATTTACTGATGATATCTGGAAAAAAAATCAAGGGATATTGAATCTAATCTTGTATACAGAAAATGTCAGATTTTGCAAAGTTACTAAACATGTTCAAAAATTAAATGAAATATTTTCAAGAACTTTAATTCTGTTTTTTTTGTGAAGTTAAAAATTAGCTGATTTTTTGATACTTAGAATCTGTTTTTGCAATTATTCAGTATTATATTTCAGTATGTGTTATGGTCTGATGCCAGTAAATTAATCGTTCTGTATATTCCCAGCTCATTTTTTTAAAAATTACTGTTAGTTGATAAACCAGATTAAACTACAAACCTTAAATGTGTGTGATATTTACTGTTTTAATGTGTTTAATGTATTAACAATGCTTTCTGACACGTTTGTTGTATACGTGGAAATATGTTTTCTGAGTTGTTACAATTTTCCTTCATAGAGCCATAGGACAGCGTGCCCAGAGAAAAATCCACTATATTTTCAAAGGAATTTTTTCCTTTATCTGAAGCACATTTTACATTTTTATCCTCTGCTCTACTTTGTATATAGTGAGTCTCTACTTGGTTGTGTGTGTGTGACCGTATTATATGATTATCAACAGTTATATTCCAAATACTCATACAAGTTACCTCTTAGAACAACTTAAAAATCTTTTAGCAATTCCTGTTTTCTGGGTTTTGGGAACAAATCATCTAGATGTCAACGACGCTATAGTAAAGTCAGTTTAAAGACAGGTCTTGGGGGAGGGAGTGGGCCTTGTGGTGCAGTGGATTAAGATGTGGACATCCCAATTTGAAGTGCCACTTGGAGTCATGGCTGCTCTACTGCCTGTCCAATTCCCTGCTAATGGGTGTGGGAGGGCAGTGGAAGATGACCAAAGTATTTGGGCCCTTGCTACCCACATGGGTGACCCAGATCTGTTTTTCTCTTCTCCCTCTGTTTCTCTGCCTTTCAAATAAATAAATCTTTAAAAACAGGTGTTTGGTAGCCCCTAGAAACTGAGGACCCATAAGTGGATTATGAATGTCATGTTAAGCCATGGCACTTTTTGTGCAGTGGACTCTCAAAATGAATTTCTGCCCTAAACAAATCAAAAAGAAACAATCCTTTTAAAAAATCATTTACAAAATGGGCTCTTGCCCAGTCTCATTCTGCAACAGTAGATATAAGTGGCTACTTCCTTCCACTGTACCGTTTTACACTGGGAAATGCCCCTTTCTTTGACAATAGCTGGCTGTAATACATTGCACTGTCAGTGTCAAGATTAGTTTCCTGCTTAAAGGGCATATGGTTACTTCGCTTCCTAGTGTAGAGTTTAAACTAGAAGCCTTGTACTGTTTTAGCTAATTTTATTTTATTTTTTATTTTTTGCAGGTTTGGAAAAGTGCCTTTTCTGAAAATTCTGCTGCTTGGATTCTACTCTAGAGCTGTCTCTTTATTAACCCCTCTCCCTACCATACCTTTCCTGGTTCCCTGTCCGCCTTCCGCACAGAACCTGGTGTGCTTGTAGTTCACTGTCAGCAACTTGTCCATTTCTGTTTTTCTGTGATTCTCAATTTACTTAGTGATTTTTCCCTCCCCTTGATTTTTGCAACAAAACTGTTTTTGGGCTGTGACACTCTCCCCAGTCTTATTCTTTAAAGCTAAGAAATAGGGAGGAAAAGTTCTCTCTCCCTAATCTGACATCATTCTGCAAATTGAAGGGCAGCCAGCAGCATATGCTTTCTGTAAGAATAATTGAAAACATCAACTGGAGAGCACAGAATTCTTTTGAAAGTGTGCCAATTATTTGAAGTAAATTCAGCAAAGGAACCAAATAAAACATTCAGTGTCTTAACCTTAACAGTTGCCTTCTTAGGAGTTGGTCTCTAATTTGACTCTTAGTTATTCTGATACAACTTGTATTTTATAATTGGCTTTTTGTTTGACTAGACCGGATTTGACTTAAGTGAAAACCTAAGTGCTCACAATTAGGCATCTCACCAAAGCAGCCTGTTATCTCTTCATAGTTAGCTTGCATTCATCTTTAATCCTTTAATAATCTGCAGTAACGTTGTCCTAAAGAGGGTGCACTTGATTTTCAATTTTTTTTCAATATGACGGCTGTCAATGTTGCCCTGATTCGTGATACCAAGTGGCTGACCTTAGAAGTCTGTAGAGAATTTCAGAGAGGGACTTGCTCTCGAGCTGATACAGATTGCAAGTTTGCCCATCCGCCAAGAGTTTGCCATGTGGAAAATGGTCGTGTGGTGGCCTGTTTTGATTCTTTAAAGGTGAGTCTCATCTGACTACACATCATTTGAATTTGTAGATTTCTGTGCTTTTAAGGTACAATGTGCTTTGAAATGAGTAAAATTAGTAACAATGCACAAGTGGTAAGATTTGTTCGTTATGCTTTAAGACGAAATGTGGACTTTGTATGTTTAGAGTTAAGGCAGTCTAAAGCTCGGGCCACCAAAATGCACTTATGAAAACAGATACTCTTAAACAATAGGCGTTCACGCATTGCTGTAGGAGGTAGGCATTGCAGTGCTGCTATCATTGGCTTCTTTTGTGTCTTTTGTAGATATTGAATGCAGCATCGTAATCCTCCTACATCCTAGAGAAGGCCTTTACTGATTTACAGTGTAGCTTATTATCCACGCAGTCAAAAAATACATTTGTCAAGGACCAGTTAGCTTTCTGAGGATTCATAAAGTCAGGCTGATGGAGTGTAAGGTGAAAAATTTCTCTGTCCAGGAGGAGAATGATGGCAATTTAAAATTTCTCAAAGTATATTTTGAACTTTTAACTTAAATGTAGTGCTACAAAATTAGATTCATTTCCTTTCATTCCTGAAGAGCTGATTGACCATTTTCAGATCTGTGAGTACATTTTGTAAGGAAAATCCTGTTGCCAAGGTCAGCAACCTTAAATAACATGTATTAGAGTATAAACAAAATATGAGGGCAAATGAGGTATCGTATAGAATAGGACAGATATGATGGCAGAACAAGAAAATGCCCTGATTTTCATGTTTTATTCATAGTTATCCCTAAATTAAGGGTAAAGATGTACAAATTAAAGCATAGAAGCAAAAGACTAGTAATGGATTACAGGTTTAATTAATAAGATTTGCTATGATGCATTCATGTTTTTCTTTTTTTTTTTTTTTGCAAAATGCATCTAAATGAACTAAGCTTAACAAGAACCTTTTCAATTTCTTGGTATTGTTTTACCCTCATCATGACCAATTTTACCTTATTAACATTTTTATTTATGGCTGCATTAGCTAATAGAGATGTATTTCTTCATGTGATAGCTTGCTCAGAAAACATCGTCTTGAGTGATATATTACTTAAGTAGTTATTTATACTTATTTCACTTACTAGTCTTTAATGTGGACCATCCTAGAGCAAGGATGGAAACTTGTTCTACCAATAAAGGTAGATTTTTACCATTGAAAACCTCTGAATTGCTTTATTTGCAGCAGATATTATGATGAAAGGACTTATATTTTCATTTCATACATCTACAATTGTTTTATCTGCAGAAACAGTTATCTGATGTATGATACATACATCATGCATCTGCAGTTGTCTTTCTGTAGTTACCTTGTGCATTAGTTAAACTGACTGCCATAGTACTGGGCGATACCTTGAACTGCAAAAGAGCACTGGACAAATTGCAGGGGGAAGAGGCCTCTTTCATTCAGTCCATGGAGGGTCTTCCACTGCACTAGACACTTTACACATGCTGTTTCAAGAGATGTGGGGTGCGATCCCAGATCTACCATGTTTGACCTTGGTCCACTTCACTTCACAAACCTTGAGTGACTTCACTTTTAACAGCTGAGTAATACCTCTCTACCTAACTTCTGTGGAGTTACCAGTGATATAACACAAACGAAAAACCATGTATCACCTCTAACATGAATTAAATGAAAGGTCACTTTCTTACTAGTAACTCTTTGTTTCAGAAGTTCTTCAAAAAAGGTTCTATTTAGTTAGGGTTTATTATTTAAAACTATAAAAAGGTTTTGTTTAGTTAGGGTTTTATTATTTAAAGTACAAACTCATGTTCCAAATGGATGTACCCAAATCCAACTGTCATTAAGTGTGATATAAGTTCTTCAAATGAAGTATCACTGTTTTTATGGCTATCCTCTCATATAGAGTTTCTTGCAGGGTTTGTAAATTCTGTCTTTTCTGGAATCATAGAATGTAGTAAGAAATGTGTGAGATTCCTAATCATTTATATACTTCAGGTCAGTGCTCCTGTATAACTCCAAACGAGTGCCATAAATTAAACACTGAAGAAAAGTAACATGGAAAGTGATTGTATATAAAATGCATACTGCATTCCACTCTAAGGCTTAGAAAATGCTTAATTCAGAGACTAAATAGATAATGGGTGAATATTAATAAGCCACTTAATTATTTAAATAAGCTATCTACTCACTATCTACTGTTTTTAAAATAATTTATGCAGTATGTTAATATCTTGATAACCAGTCACACAAAATAAAGATGATTTCCATAATCCTTAGATTTTCAAATTTTAATGAAAAGCTTTATATTTCAAATATACAAAGCCTTTCGAACAATTATTTAATTTGCCATTTATATAGCACATTCATCAGAGTTACATGTTTGTACAAAGCTTTGTAGTCATATTTTATATTATTTCTTATCCATGATATGCATGAAAGCTATGCTAAGTTGAAGGCAATTGACCTGTGTCGATTGTACTCCTGTCATAATCTACAATACAAAAATAACATACCTCACTGCTAACTGCAGCATTTGCTACCCCTCTTGAATTTGGATAATTGAAACATTGTCGAAATTCATCTGTGCTTATTTCGAATCATTTGATGAGTTTTCGGCTGCATCTTTTTTTTTTATGGTTTGTTTGTTTGTTTTGTTTTGTTTTGTAACAATTCCATTAGTGCTAGCTACTCTACTAGATAATGGTTCTTTGCGTTAATAATGGGTCAGATAGATAAAGTGTCATACTCACCTCATAAGTGGAGGGCAGGCTGATTGTTCTGCAGTGCTGTGCCCAGCATTACATGAATGTTGAGTGTTCAGGGATGAAGATTATACCGTCTTTAGACAGAAGTCTAGCCAGTGCATCTATAGGTTAATTTCCAGCTACATAGATGACTCTCATGCCATGTTGGTTTGTACCTGGGTTTGACTCAGTTGTGTTGTCTGCTTGGCAAAATTTAAATTCAAAAGTTCTCTTCAACATATTGCCTCAAACATTCCTTGCTGATTTCTTGATATTATGGGTTGCATTGATGTAGGTTGGTATTTTTAGTGAACAATCATTGAACTTACCAAAGGATAACCTTTTTAAAGCTAAGTCCATCTTTGTGATTGTTCTCATAGCCAAGTTACTCCGCTTTGATGGTATCATGAGGTCTTGAATCTTCCACTCCATACCTGAAGCAGTCATCCATTATCCAGGAAGGATCTAAATGTTGTCTTCATCTCCTTGTGACTGAACAGCAGCCATCACATCTGACAACCCTACTCACCGCTTTAGGTAGTTTTATAACAAGAGTTTCTGATAAAGGCATAGCAGTAGGCATAATCAGAGGATGGTCCCATCAACCCATATGCATCCCTAAAAGATGGGAGCTGGTTGAGGAATGCACTTGTAACAACCCCATGCTGTGTCTTCAAGTACCACATATGATCACAAGTATGATAACATTTGGACAAGTGAAACCTATTTTATAGACATAGAGATATTAATTTATTCTTGTGGGTCAAAATGGCCCACATTACCAGTATAGTCTGTCCTAGCATTACAGTCATAGCAGTTTTTAGTAGTTTAAAATGTTCCTTTTTTTGACTGAATATTTGCTCATCCCTGTTTGCTAAGGGAAAGCTTACCAGAAACTGGACTCCTAGCAACAAAATCCCAAGGGTCACTGTATCATGCAAGACTCCGCACCATTTCTAAGCTCTGTCAGGGAGTCCGCCTGCACTATAGGGACACATAGGCAGTGCCTGTCTTTCTGAACACTAAAAAAAGTTTCACTACAGGCTCCCTATCTTCTATTACACTGACCTTGAAAAGGGAGTATGTTTGACTGGTAAAAGTCAATGCCATTTTGGATATTTCAAAAACCTCTTCTGAAAGAAAACTAGAATTCCAGTTAGTACTCAAATATAAATTGAAAGCTGGACCTCACTTTTAAATTTTTGCATTTTGAAATAATTTTAAAATTCCAGAAAAGTTACAAAATTATTACAAGGCGTTTCTGTAAAGCCTTCACACACATTGCCTTAATGTCTACAGCTAACATACCATACAACTCAGTTATCAAAAACAGGGCATCAACGCTGCTACAAGACTCTTCACTAGAGACCTTATTTAAATTTCACCAGTTTTCTCCATCATGTCCATCTTCTCTTCCAGGATCCAACCTGGGATCCCTCATTCCATTTACTCCTCATGTCTCCTTAGTGTCTTCCCATCTCTGACAGTTTCTCAGCCTTTCCTTTTCTTTGGATGAGTACTGCTCAACTTTTCTGTAGAATGCGTCTGACTTTGTGTTGGTCAAATATTTTCTCGTGATTAGACATATAACCTGTATTTTTGGGGGGGGCAAGAGAATCACAGAAAATGTGTGCACCCACATTTATATTTGAGGCTATGTGATGTTATCCCTCATTATTTTAACCTTAATCACCTGGTTAGGGTGGCACCTGCTGTGTTTCTCCTCTATAAAATGACTTGCTTTCCTGTTGTAAAAATTGATAAATATCTCCCCTACTACTTCACCATCCCCTACATTATGCTGTTGCTTGTAAGGGGAATCCCCAAATGTCAGATGTTAAAAGGCAAACAAGTGACCATCTTAGAAATATGAGCAATGCACTTCTATAATCACAGTCAAGTAAAAAGGGAAATGGAGGTAAATGAACCAACAGCATGACAAAGAAAACAACAGCACCAGACCACCAGAAAGACAGGACACTGGTGAGTGGGAAGCCCCAGAAGTGGTGTGACATGCGTGTTCTTGTCATATGCTTTGCCTACAGAGTGGCCTCTGTGCTAGCATTGGTGCCCCCACCTACCTTTAATGTATGATCTTTATGCTTCCATTCTCAAAATAAATAACATTTCTCCTTTGTTGAGTTCAGCATCTTCATGAGGGAAACAAAAACGCAAAAGAAGTCTTAAGGAGCATACACAAGATAATCAAATATAAATGAAATGTAAATGCCATCTCCCCTCCCCAGTAACACAGTTAACATTTGTACTTTTCCCTCGT